AGTGACCATATAGGGTGCTGGGGCTTGAACCTTTGTCAGCAGCATGCAAAGCAAGCGCCCTTCCCATTGTACTACCACTCCAGTACCAAGATTTCCCCTTTAAGTGGCTCTGAAAAAGTTATTTCAAAATCATTAAAATAGAATAATCAACTCCACAGCTTAGAGGCCAGCCGGGTATTCTAGGGGAAAGGGCAGTTCAGATAGAGAAGGGAGCACCAAATAAAGGGTTTTTGGAGGATCCTCCCAGGAGGGGAGATGCATGTTGAAAGTAGACTATGGACTGAACATGTTTGCCACTCAATGCCTCTTTTGCAGACAACAACACCCAAAAGGAGAGAGAGAACAAAAGGGAATGCCCTGCCACAGAGGCAGGGTGGGAGGGAGGGGTATGGGGGGGGGGATATTATGCTGGTGGAAAATGGGCACTGGTGGAGGGATGGGTATTTGATCATTGTATGACCGAAACCCAAGCACAAAGATTTGTAAATCTACAACTGTACCTCATGGTGCTTCACTAATAAAAAATATATTATAATAATAATAATAATAAAATAGAATAATTAGAGATTTGCAAATGACATTCAATGAACATTAACACGAAGTCATAAAGTCAACATATACAAAAACACTCAAAGATACTGACAAAAGAACGATTCTTTACTCTCATAAAAAGTCATTTTTAAGGAGCCAGAGCAGTAGTGCAGCAGATAGAATGCTTGCTTGGTACTTCATAGGGGTCTCTAAGCCCTACCAGGAGTAATCCTTAAGTACAGAGCCAGGAGTAAGCCAAGAGCACTGTTGGGTGTAGCGTAGCCCCCAAACAAAACAAACAGAAATAATTCTAACTGGAAAGAGTATTTCACTTTCTGTAGCAAAAACTGTTAAAGCATAAACATTTTGGAAAACAGTAAGAAGGCCTTCACTAAGTATTTCAATAATGAATAATAAAAGTACAGAAATAAAGTTAGAATGTAGAAAATATCTTATAAAAGAAAAAACAGCTACCCTCTAACTCTGCTCTTAAAAGATTCACCTATTCAAGGCTAGGAAGATGTTCAAGACCAAGGAGATGACTCAGAGGGTTGGAGTGCAGTATGCTTTGCCTGAAGGACTGCCGAGTTCAACTCCTAGCAATGCATGGTCCTCTGAGCACTGCTGTGAGAACACCCAAGCAATGACCAGGGAGTAGCCCCTGAGTACCACAAGATGTCGTCCCAAAACAAGCAAGCACCTAACTATAGTTCCACTGGAAGTAATTACTCAGTATTAATTCAGTGTCTGCAATAATTTTATTAATGATTATTATCATAAATGATGAGAGCTCTGTGCTCCAGAATCACTCCTGGTGGGGCTCAAATTGGGTCCACTACATGCTGCACTATCTCACTAAGTCCTCACATTTATTTATCTTATTTCAATATTTTTTGGTTTGTTTTGGGTCATACCTGGTGGTGCTCAGGGCTGAGTCCTGGCTCTGCACTCAGGGATCACTCCTGGTGGGCTCAGGGGACCATAAGGGGTGGTGGGTATCAAACTCAGGTTGTTCTCATGCAAGGTGAATGCCCAACTACTGTACTATCTCTCTGGCCCCTCCAATATTATTTTTATTATTTATTTATTTTTTTTTTTTTGCTTTTTGGGTCACACCTGGCGCTGCACAGGGGTTACTCCTGGCTCTGCACTCAGGAGTTACTCCTGGCAATGCTCAGGGGACCATATGGGATGCTGGGAATCGAACTCGGGTCGGCCGCGTGCAAGGCAAACGCCCTACCCACTGTGCTATCTTTCCAGTCACAGCCATTATTATTTTTAAAGGAGAAAAAAATACTATCACTATGCTTAAGCCCAGGCTAAGAGAAAAACATGAAAAGAGTAAATGCATAAGAAGACTAAAAAACAAGATGTACTTTGAATAAAGTAAAATCTGGGTTTAAATTCTAGCTCTATTAAGTGTCTGAGACAAATTTTGTCACTAAGACACAGGATAATCACAAGTAAAATTAAGGTTAAATAGTTAGGAAACATTGAGCACTATGGAAACATTAATTGCTCACATATTTCCACCAGTGTTTCAGATAGTAACTTCTTTCCATGGGAATAAAGCCTTGCAGCCGACTCCCCCTTGCTGGCCTTTTATCAACAACAGTTATTCCCATGAATCAGAAAAGAAGCAGTAAGACTGAAACAGATATGGCTATATTCAGGAAGCAAAGTTCCACTACAGAAGGATGGGCCCTGCCTTTCAGCTGTAATCGTTTCTAAGATCTATTTGACAGAATTCTTCAGAAGATATTTGGTTGACTCATACTCTCTTAGCCACACATTCTTCCTGATTCATAGATGCACAGTCAGTCAGCTGCTTGTTTGTGGATAAGCAACAGAGTCATTTAATCTTACTTGATGCTGAATGATGGGTTGCATGTAACACTAAAAAATAGCTTTTTTCTATAGCGATTTAATATCATTCTTAACATCTTAGAAATGTCTATCATCATTTTTCTAAAGTGATTTACTATCATTAAATATTATTTAATATTATAATCAGCTTTTTATAATTCAAAAAAGAATAGCATGGATAATAAAGAGACTGCGACTTAACAGATCACGTGTATATAACATATATGTACATATAGCCAAGTTAAAAAATTATCCTAAAATTTGTAAGGAACCCTGAATAATCAAAGCAATCTTGAAAAAGAACAAAACGTGAAGACTCATATCTCCCAATTTTGAAACTTACCACACAGCTACTGTAATGACATAAAGAACTGACAAAAAGACAAACACATAGACTGATTAATCAGAATAGAAAGCTCAGAAATAAACCCACCCAATTCACCCACATGCGATCATTTTGTCATATATGGTCAAATAATTTTGACAAGAGTGTCAAGGTCATTCAAAATGGTAAGTATAGTTTTCTAAGTAAATATTAATAGGAAAATGAATATTCATATACAGTGAAGAAGCTGGACCTAAGACTATACAGGATTTAAAAAAGTTTCTGCAACTGAAACTCTTAGAAACAAACATGGGATAACTTTTGTAATATTAGGTTTGACAATGGTTACTTGAATATGATACCAAAATATAGGTAACCACAACAAAATCAGAATTCATGAAAATTTTAGAAGTTTGGGTATCAAAGAATACTAGAGAGTAAAAAAACAATTCACAGAATGGGAGATATAATTTACAAATTATATATATTTTAAGAGATCAATATTTAACATTTATAATATAAAGCAGTGGTTTTCAGTATTTTTCTACTTGCTGAGAAGCAAAAATCTTTGAATCAGCAGTTGAAAATCTCTGTATAGGGGCTGGAGAGATAGCACAATGGGTAAGGTGATAAGTGGTGATCACCGGCACTCAGGATCTGAGTAGCACGACATTCTCAGGCCCAATCACTGAATCACCTATCTGGTTAGCTGAAAATGGCAGGAGGGGTTCCAAGGTCTCCTGAGCACTGTTTGGTAAATACTTTTCTACCCCCCTCAAAAGGACAAATACTGATTCTACTCATGATCCCACATAGTCAAAACCCTAGAGAATTGATGATGGATGTCAGAGACTGTGGAGGAGGAATGGAAGCTTCAGCTTTTCTTGGTGGGGGGAGTGTGTGTGTGTGGGGGGGGAGACCAAGCAGTGCTAGGGGACCATGCCATGTTGACAGTGGAACCTTGGGTTCCCATGTGCAAGGCATGTGATTCAGCTCTTTGAGTCATGTCCCAGAGGTCAGGGGTTCAACTAGGTTGGCACAAACTTGAGATATCTCCTGGGGGTTATACACTTGTGGTGTAGGGTATCACAATCATAATATCTCAAGCATGCAAGGCAAATAGTGTACCACTAGAGTCACATTCCCTGGCTCTATATTGCATATTCTCATAAAAGAGGGTAACATAATTTAAATGTTTGTGCCCTCTATATCTTTGTTGAAAACTAAGTAGTAGAGAAATAAAGTCTGATTATGCGCAAGCTAAACGGCATTAAAATTCATTGGTGTTTTTGTACCCGGGGCCAGAGTGACAGAACAGTGGGTAGGGCATTTGCACTTGCGCATGGCTGAATTGGACTCCCATCCCTGACATCCCATATGGTTCCCTGAGCACCGCCAGAAATAATTCCTGAGTGTGGAGCCAGGGAAAACACCTGAGCATCACCAGATGTGGTGCCCCCACAAAAACGTTTTCTTACCAGTAAAACAGAGATAATACAAATGTCATTTTTAAAAAATTTCACAAATAAAGTAGCACCTGGTAAGAAGTCAGTGCTACCAATTAGCTATTATTCTAATTTTTAAGAATTTTTAAGATATACCTGGTGGTGCTTAGGGAACATTCAGCGCTAGTGATCTATCCTAGGCCCATTACATGCAAAGCATGTGCTTAGTCCAGTGCGCTGTCTCTCCAGCTCTGCTTTGCTTGTTTTGGAGACATACCTGGAAGTGCTCAGGGCTTACTTCTTGACTTGGTGATCACTCCTGGCAGTGCTCAGAGGGCCATGTACGGTGCCAGGAATTTGAATCAGAGTTGGCTGCATGTAAGGCAAGCAAACTATCTCCTATACAATCTCTCCTGCTCTGCTATTTTACACTCATGAGAATGATTCTTTTTCTATTTTTTTTTCTTTTTGGGTCACACCCGGCGGTACACAGGGGTTACTCCTGGCTTTGCACTCAAAAATTACTCCTGGCGGTGCTCAGGGGACCATATGGGATGCTAGGAATCAAACCCGGGTCGGCCATGTGCAAGGCAAATGCCCTCCCCGCTGTGCTATTGCTCCAGCCCCGAGAGTGATTCTTTTTCTTTTTGGGTCACACCTGGCGATGCACAGGGGTTACTCCTGACTCTGCATTCAGGAATCACCCCTGGCAGTGCTCAGGGGACCATATGGGATGCTGGGAATCGAACCTGGGTTGGCCGCATGCAAGGCAAACACCCTACCCGCTGTGCTATTGCTCCAGCCCTGAGAATGATTTTTAAAAATTAAAGAATATACAAATATTCTCACTGTTCTGATTTTTTAAAAATCAAGACAGGCTAAACATTCGCTATAAGACCATAGCATGTGTCCCCAGACCTAGTTCTTTATCTTATGTCTGGTCTTAGAAATGCTGGTGATCAGGGCTGGAGAGTTAGTATACTAAGTAGGGCAATTGCCTTGTGCACGACCAACCCAAGTCAATCCCTGGGACCCTACATGGTCCCCTGAGCACAGACAAGGAGTGAACCCTTTGTGCAGAGCCAGGAGTAAGCCTTAGCACCACGAGGTGTGGCCCAAAACTCGAAAAAAATAAACAAGACTATAAAAACTTTTAAAAATTAAAAATGATAAAAAATAGAAGAGTTCAACTTCATTCTGGAGTCAATGTTAAAATTACATAGTATATAAAATTACCACAGAAAATATGGTAAATAATATTACTGTAGAGTTCAGTTCTCAGTTTATAAAATACTTTTATAAGTATTCTATTCCATATTCTTTATACAAAAACTAGTCTAATGCCATAGCATGTATGACCATTAATTTTAAATACGTAAGCTTTATGAAACACAGAATGCATGTAAAAATGATTAATTTCTAACTTTTCAAAACCAATAACGTGGTTAATCATAATCATTTGTATTTGTTTGAAATAAATATCAAAAATAAGCTGACAAGGAAAGATTAAAGGAACTCCATGTATATGGCCCACCAAGCAGTCAGGAGTGCCTCAAATAAAAGAGGCTGAGAATATGGCTCACTGGTAGAGCACAGTCAAGTATAACCATGAACATTTGGAGTATCGGGTTTTATAATTTGGGAAGGATGTGTTCCTCTGCCTTTCAAAATGACCCATAACTGATCTGGGAAAATAGTTAAACGGGTTAGAGTATCTGCTTTCCAGATTCTACACCTGGCACCACATGGTCCCCGGAATATTGAGCCTACAGTAAAACATAAGAACTGCTGAAATCTCCTCCTGCTAATCCACAACTAAATTATCTATAATCTCACACTAGAAAATCGTTGACTGCGGGTAAGGAGCTTGCCTTGCTCACAGCCAACCTGGGTTTGACCCCAGCACCACATACAGTCCCTAAGAACACCACCAGGAATGATCCCCAGTGCAGAACCAGGTGAAATCTCTGAACACAGTTGAATGCATCACACCCCTCAAAAAAAAAAGTAGGTTTTTGGATAGAGCTTTATAACTTAAAAGGCATTTTTACATATTATGGCACTTAGCAGGTAGGGCGTTTGCCTTGCACGTGGCTGACCCGGCCAACCCAGGTTCGATTCCTCTGCCCCTCTCGGAGAGCCTGGCAAGTTACCGAGAGTATCTTGCCCTCATGGTAAAGCCTGGCAAGCTACCAATGACATATTCGATATGCCAAACACAGTAACAAGTGTCATAATGGAGACATTACTGGGCCCGCTCGAGCAAATCGATGAACAACGGGAGGATAGTGACAGTGAATTTTCTTATGATATAAATAGGGCATTCTGATTCCTAGTTATAGGTGAGAGAAACAATTGTGACTGTCTTTAGACAGAAATCAAGAGTTTTCTCTATGCTATTTTTTTCCCTCCACATCTGGTGGACTCAGGTGACCATATATAAGGGATGCCAAGGATAGATGCCAGGGATTGAAATTGGTATGGAAGCTGGGTCAGCTGCATATGAAGCAAGTGCACCCTACCCACTGTACTATCACTCCGGTCCCATTATTTAAAAAATTTCTTTAAAGAAATATTGGGGTGGGGGATGAGAGAAGGAAAGTGGGAGAGGGGGAAAGAGAGAGAGAGATAGAGGTTTTTTTTTTTTCCTCTTTTGGGTCACACCTGGCGATGCACAGGGGTTACTCCTGGCTCTTCACCCAAGAATTACTCCTGGCGATGCTCAGGAGATCATATGGGATGCTGGGAATTGAACTCGGGTTGGCCGCGTGCAAGGCAAATGCCCTACCCGCTGTGCTATCGCTCCAGCCCCTTTAAAATTATTTTAACTCTTCTGAGACAGACCTTCATTACGGCTCAACGCAGACAGCTCACTAGACACCTGGGAGCAAAAGTTTCAAATCCACTTGAAAAACAATACTATCTATGCTCAGTTTTCCATGAACAGATTTCCTTATGTGAAGATCCTGGGTTAAAATATATTCTTAGGGGCTGGAGCAATAGTACAGTGGGTAGGGCATTTGCCTTGCACACGGCCAACCCGGGTTCAATTCCCAGCACCCCATATGGTCCCCTGAGCACCGCCAGTGATGATTCCTGGATTCCTGAGTGCAGAGCCAGGATTAACCCCTGTGCATCGCTGGATGTGATCCAAAAAGCAAAAATAATAATAATAATAATAATAATAATTCTTATATTGGTTCCAGAGAATATTATAGCAGGCAGGGCCTTGCCTTGCATGCAGCAGACCTGGGTTTTATCCCTGGCACCCCATATGATCCCCAAGCACTGCCTGGAGCAATTCCTGAGTGCAGAGCCGAAAGTAATCCCTGAGCATTACTGGGTAAGGGACAAAACAAACAAAAATACTTACAGAGGCATAAAGAATAAAAGACTGAGTTCACCGAGTTTGTTTTCCTTTTTTTTCTTCTTTTTTTGGGTCACATCCAGCAATGCTCAGGGGTTACTCCTGGCTCTGATGTTACTCCTGGCTCTGCACTCAGGAATTACTCCTGGCGGTGCTTGGGGAACCATATGGGATGCTGGGAATTGAACCCAGGTCGGCCGCATGCAAGGAAAACATCCTACCCACTGTGTTATCGTTCCAGCCCCAAGTTTGTTTTCTCAAATCAGAAAGTCATATTTAAACAAAGAGAAAGAGAGCTTCAGAAATTTTCCAACATTCACTAAATTTAAATTATTACGGTAGCCATGATCCCAGCCTTCTGGTATTCACACCATGAGTGAATAAATCCCCCATTCCTTCTCGAGTGTAGGCTAGACTTAATGACTCACTCTAATGGACAGAGTAAGACACAAGTGACAAGAGAAAATAAGTCATAAAAAGCAGAGTGACTTCATTTTTATCCTCTCTACAAAGAAAAGCACATAACTAGGAACTGTAGTCACGTAGCAATAGTCACATGAGTAAACTCGGAAGTGAACTCAATTCCAGTCAAGTCTACAGACTGTAGGCTAGCCAATAATTTGCTATCTCACAGGAGACCACGAGCCACTAACATCTGGCCAAGCTACTCCAAGATTCCTATGAAAGGGCCCAAGGGAGCTTTTGGGGGTAACTACAATATATCTGATTTGTGGGTACATACATTCACTTAAACCCAAGTAATTCACATTTTAAAATAGGATCACTTTATTGGGTTTAATCCCTGGCATTACACAGAGTCTCCCAAGTAGTGCCAGGAGTGGCACCAAAAAAACAATACAAAGAATAAACAAAACTGGTGCATTTTACTGTGTGTGAATTATACTCCAATAAAATCGATATTGTGTAGAAAAGCCATGGAACTTATTATTATTTTTTTGGTTTTGGGCCATTCCTGGCTCAGTGTTCAGGGTTTGCTCCCAGCCTGTGTTCAGGGAATCATGTGGTACCAAGGAACAAACAACAAACAGAGCTGGCCTGTTGAGTTTTCTCTCCAGATCTACAGCTATATATATATGTGTATATACATACATATATATACATATATATATATATATATATATATATATCACGGTCATGGTCCTCCCGTTGTTCATCGATTTTCTCGAGCGGGCCCAGTAACGTCTCCATCATGAGACTTGTTACTGTGTTTGGCATATCGAATACATCACGGGTAGCTTGCCAGGCTCTGCCATGCGGGCGAGATACTCTCAGTAGCTTGCCGGGCTCTCCGAGATGGGCGGAGGAATTGAATTCGGGTTGGCCATGTCGGCTGCGTGCAAGGCAAACGCCTTGCCCGCTGTGCTATCGCTCCAGCCCATATACATATATATATATATATATATATATAAAATATGCTTTTGGGGTCAAACCCAGCAATGCTCAGAGGTTACTCCTGGCTCTGCACTTGGGAATTACACCTGGCAGTGTCCAGGGACCATATGGGATGCCAGGGATCAAACCCAGGTTGGCTGCATGCAAGGAAAGCACCACACCCACTGTTCTATTGCTCCAGCCCCTGCCACTGAATTCTTAAGCAGATGAAAGGTTACTTATGAAAAAGCAGTGTCAACAGTCATGAAATTAAGGGGAGGTAGTGAGAAAAATAGAAGCTGCAGTAACAGGCCACAAATTCATGTCTTAAACCATTCCTCAAAACTGCTCCTCCCACAGTCTGTCCCATCTCATATAACTGCAATCCCATACTCCCTTTCACTAGCCAAGAATGTTGGAGGCATTCCGGATTCTCACATGCCACATCCAATCCATAAGCCAATCCTCTTGGCTGTATCTCAAAATACTTTCAGAATATGACCATTTCTCACCACCTCCACCACGGCTACCATTTAGTCTCTTGCCAAGATTACTGAAATAGCCAAACTGGTCTCCCAGCTTCACTTCTGTCCTCTAAACCAGTGTTTCTCAACCTTTCTCCAACTTCAGCTCCCTTCCAATCTTTTTTCCCTGTGGTCCCCTCCTCCTCCTACTGGCTGCTCCCACTGCCATTTATACAACTTGTACCCGTGGCCCCCTGAAATATCCTGGCTATTAAAACCCCAAAATTACTCTTTGTCTCACTCAGAAGAAAAGCCTCTGTGTCTCCTCTGCTGGAACACCTTTCCCCCAGAAACTGCATGGCTTTTAATTTCCCAACTTCCTTCAGGTCTTGTTCAAATATAAATTTTATCGAGCCTATACTACTAAGAATCACAAATATTCTTGGGCTGGAGAGACACTAGAGCAGGAAGGGCAATTTTGCATGCAACACCACATATGGTCCTCTGAGCACCACCAGGAGTGATCCCTGAGCACAGAACCAGGAGTGATCCCTAAACAGTCAGATGTGGCCCCCCCACCCCCCCAAATTTTTATCAGGGGCTGGAGAGATACCACAGTGGGTAGAGCGTTTGCCTTGCATGTGGCCGACCTGGTTCGATTCTTAGCATCCCATATGGTTCCCCCAGCACCGCCAAGGAGTAATTTCTGAGTGCAGAGCCAGGAATAACCTCTGTGCATTTCTGGGTGTGACCCCCTCAAAAAAAACCCCAAAAATTACTAAAATATAAATCATACTAATCATTACAACACTCAGAAAAGGTATTTAGGACTGGAGAGATAGTACAACAAGTACAGTGCTTGTCTTGCCAATAACAATCCAGATTCAATCCTCAGCATTCCATATGGCCTCCTAAACCCCACCAGATCCCTAAATACAGAGCCAGGAATAAGCCCTGATTACCACTAGATGTTCCCACACACACTCTCTGCCAAGAAAAAAGATATTTAGCAGTTAATAAAAACACACTGCACGGATGACAAGAATAGTATAGGGGTTAGGGTACTTCCTTGCCTTACATGTACTAACCCCATTTAAATTCACATATGAACAAATGATACCTGTAAGCATACCCCAAGTGACTGGAATACAGTGGTGTCAGGAATTTCCCCAGAGTATTGATGGCTATGGCCCAAATCTCCACCCTTCACCAAAAAATAAACAACAAAAAAAGACAAATAAAATAGGAAAAATACTGAGTATAACATGATGTCAGTATTTCCCCCGCAGAGAAAAAAAAGGATTTTTTTTATAATGTAGGAGTACTGCTATTTATTCAGCCATTGATTAAGTTGATTGAATTGGGCATGAACTCCACAATACAAAAATCCAAAAAAGATTTTTTTTAGGTATCAGAAATTGAACTCATACAGCGGTGGGAAGGTGCAATGGTGATGGGATTGGTGCTTGAATATTAAATGTAACCAAATATTGTAAATTACTTTATTAAATAAATAAATAAAAATTGAATCCAGGGTCTCACGCATGGTAGGAATATTTTCTAGGCCCTTCTTGAAATATTCTATTTCAAGAAGTCAACTTCTAAGAGCTGAACAAGCACAATGAGGTAATTGCATGTTTTACTTGTGGGAGGCTGGGTTTCATCCCTGATAACACTTAGGTCCCTAAGCACTGCATCACAGAGCTGGGAGTAGGCCCCAAGTGTTGACAGGTGGGGGGGGGGGGGGGGGAAGACAACTTCTCAACCTATCCAAACTATTATTTATTAAAACCTTAAAAAAAATCACATGATAGGTTTTAATTTCCACATACATTTTCTATCTTCATTATTTTCATATTTTCAACCTTTACTTCCAACAAAGTTTGTATTCTCAGAAGCTTTACCTCAAAACAATTATTTCCAAACCAAAGTTTTCATTGTCTTTCTCAAAATTTAATTCTCTATTAACTGAAGTAAAAAGTTACCAATGAACTATTACTAAACATTATTAAATTTTATGCTTACAGAGACTTTGCCATTTTTCTCTTAATTTCATTTTTTAACAGCACTGAAGTCATACACATTTTAGAAAAATAAATCTGTCAACAATCTGAAAGATTATACTTTTAAATGTTACATATAAGAAAACCCTCTTTAAAGCTCTAGATTCTTCTATAGTTAACGCTTTATAGATGAAATCTGTAATGAAAATTTGAGTGAGTTTTAAAAACATGATCCATGTTTTTTATGATCAGATTTAAAAATCTGATCATAACCCTGATGATCAGATTTAAAAATCTGATCATAACCCTGATGATCAGACCTGTGCCCTCTTTATGTAAAACACCAAAATAATTTCTAATAAAACAGTCCACAGTATTTCAAATTGCAAAGAAATATTTCCTACCTTGCCTACTTCTCTTTCTAAGTCGACATATTCCCGGCTAGGTGTTTGTCGCTGTTCTCCCTGCCAGCTGGCCGGAAAAAACTGGAGAGACAGATTGGTTCCTGTGGCCACAAAAGCCTTTTAGAAAAATCAATACAAACAGGATCAGGAGCAGAACATTACATAAATTATGCAGGCAGTCATTTATTTTTACATCAGTTTCTGTCTTAAGCCAAGTAGCACTGAGAATACTTAAAAGTAAAAAAAAAACATGCACTCATCATTTTTCTTAAGTATTAAGTTACAAACATCTGATTCCATTTTGAGGACATTTGCCATTGGCTGTTTAAATATAAAATCAGACATGGAATCAATACTTTCTTTCAGGTCATTTTTTGCTGACGTTAGTATCACGCATTACTAATGTCTAACCAGAAGCTGCCTAGTCTAAATCTACTTATGTATTTACAAAATGCAAAAAAACCCCAAAATACCTTCTGTTCTTAAATGTGAAAAATCACCAAAGATCTAAACATCTACATTTTCCAAGTACACCACAATTTAAAGCTGTGTAAATGAGCCATTTTCTTTTCTCATGATTTCCTTTGCACAAGCAAACTATGCTTTAAAGGCAATGTTAAAAAGGCACTTGGGGGGTCAGGGCAATAGTACAGCGGGAAGAGTTCTTGCTTTGCACAGTCGACTTGGGTTCAATCCCTGGCATTACATTTGGTTCTCCATATGGTTCCCTGAGCCCACCAGGAGTGATCCCCGACAACAGAGTGAGGGGTAAGCCATTGAGAAGCACCAAGTGTGAACTTTCTCCCTCAAAAAAAAGGGGACTTGGGGGACCTAGAGAGACAGTATAGGAGTTAAAGCACTTGTTTTGTTTGTGGCTGTCACATTGGATCAAATCCCAGGAACTACATACGATCCCCTTAAGTGTAGATGTAATTAAAAAGAATTAATTTTTTTTAGGGGGGTTGTTGGCCAAATCTGGTGATGCTCAGAGATTACTCCTGGATCTACACTCAGAAATCACTCCTGGTGGTGTTCAGGGAACCATACAGGATACTGAGGATTGCATGCATGGAAAGAGTACCACACACTGTACTATCTCTCTGGTACCATTTTTAAACTTTTTAAAAATTTTTATCTTTTGATAATTTAAATCTTTTTTAACTCAGAATTTTTCCAACTCTTATATGTAGGTATAATTCAACAAAAGGTTTCATTGTCAAGTTTTAGAAATGCAATCTAGAAAGCTCTATTTTTACCACTTCTGTGTCAGAGTGAGGGATGCTGGTGAGATAATGGACATAAAGTGATGAAGCAGGAAATCTCTTTTGAGGTTGGCCTTCAGACAGGAGGTGAGGTAATAAAATCTTCAGACTGTCTTTACTTAGCACAGAGTTGATTTGGGGTACCCTGTTACTACTTGTTGCTACTTGAATATAGAAGACTGAACTGCTTGTCCGCTGCCTCTACTCGGGAAATTTCATTTGAAATTTTAAAAGTTGGCTCTTTTATCCAGCTCAAAATTATTTTTTATTTATGTATACACAGAATGTTTATTTGCTATTTTAAGTACTTAACAAATATCGAAAATGAGGTACAGAGCTAAGTAAATGCCTCTGTAATACAGTATATTACTTTACCTCTTTGAGTCTGTTTTTCATTTGAACTTTGGGTTCTTTTCGCTTCACTGGATTGTTTTTTAAACTTAGCAAATAGAAAGGAAATATTTTTTTCTTAAGATTACATGTTTGTTCAGTTTCTTCATATAATAAATTAAGAAGAAAGGGTATTCCAATTGATTAGGGAAATCCCAAAGATGGAAATTTAACAGTACTAGATTGATAATTGTACCTTTAATACCAATAATAGAAATAGGAAGTATAATTTTTGGATCTAAAAACTATACAGTTAACTCTAAAAAATTATAATAAATCTACACTTAATCACCAGGGCTGTTGTGGGTAAGTGAATAAGCTAATTACTAAACAAATTACCCAAAATATGAACCTCTCTTTTATATGAAGGCTCTATGCTTGAAAACAAGTGATGCCATCCTTTTTGAGTGTTTGGTGTCAAAAACTGAATCCCTTCCATCCAAGTCTTTTCTATTAAAAAAAAAAATCCCTCCTTATTATAGTCAGTTCCAGTTCTGTCCAAGTCAAATTTAAGAAAACTTTTTTTTTTTTTTTGGCTTTTTGGATCACACCCTGCAATGCACAGAGGTTACTCCTGGCTCTGCACTCAGGAATTACTCCTGGCAGTGCTCAGGGGACCATATGGGATGCTGGAAATTGAACACCAGCCAGATACTTGCAAGACAAACATCCTACCCACTGTACTATTGCTCCAGCCCCAGAAAATATTTTTTAATCCACAATTTTAGAGAAATAAAAAGTGCTTTTTACATTTTGCACTTCAAACCAGTTTCCTGCCTTGAACATTTATCTATCTTGCTTGTCCATTTACTTATTCTTTCCAGTTTGTGTTCTCTCTTGAACAGGTACGTACTCCCCGCCCCATCTTTCTAAGCCTCAATAAATACTATCTTGCTTCACCATAAACAGAAAAAAGAGAAAATCACCATTAAGTCACATGTACTGAATGGCCTATTAAAAGAGACGATTCCAAGTACATTTTTTAGGTGTGGGGGAGCTCTCCAGCTCTGCTGGAAGAGGGGTGCTGGGGGTCTTGGCAATGAAGCTATGTAGGCCTGATACTCCAGTGGGCTGGTGGTTTATGTGCTTGAGCTGGCAGTGCTAGGGCCATCTCCATGGTTCTTTGAGCTGTTAATGCCTGGGGGCTAGGATTGAATTCAGTGCCTCACTTGAGATATCTTTTGGGCTTCCAGGTATATTTCTTTCCATATCCAGCTGTGCTCATGGGGAACTCCAGGCTCTGTGCTCAGAGGTTGCCCTCAGAAGTGCTTGGGGAATCATGTGGTGCCAGGGTCAGCTGGAAGCAAGACAGTCTCCTGACCCCCTGTAGCTCTCTTCTAACTTCCCAAGTGTATTTTTAGGGTTTTGGGCATATCTGACAGTGCTCAGTGGATCATATGTAGTTTCTGGGATTCGAACCAGGGTGGCAGCCACAAACAAGTACCTTAACTCCAGTACTATCCCTCCAGCACTCCAGTACTTTTTTAACATTGGCTTTAGAGCACAGTTTCTGTACAAGGGAAATTTACTGCTTTCATTGTTGTCACAATACATCTCAAGAGCATTTTTCTTAATCACTGGCATTTAAGACACCACCACTCTTATTTTTATTTATTACTTTGTTTTGGGTCACACACAGTGATGCTCAGGAGTAAATCCTCGCTCCATACTCAGGAAATACTCCTGGCGGAGATCAAGAAACCAAATGGGACGCCGGAGACCAGACCAGGGTCAGTCTTGTGCAAAGCAAGCGCCCTACACTGTGCTATGGCACAGGAATCTGTGTTTTTATCGCTAAGAATCACTATTCTGTTTCACATTTAAAAATAATAATTCTTTATTTACCTCACTGATACTACAGAGGAAAGAATTATAGTTTTGGGAACTATGAAAGAGAAAAGGGTTATACTTTTGAGCATTACAGTATGTTTACATTTTCACCATTCAAGTCATATAGAGACAAAAAGAATGTATTCTCCACATCCTTTTCCAGAGTTGAATAAGTAAAAGTCACAGTCTGTATATACTGTAGCACTGCCCTCCTATTGTTCATCGATTTGCTCAAGCGGGCACCAGTAATGTCTCCATTGTGAGACTTGTTACTGTTTTTGGCATACTGAATATGCCACAGGGAGCTTGCCAGGCTCTGTCGTGTGGGCGGGATACTCTCGGTAGCTTGCCAGGCTCCCTGAGAGGGATGGAAAAAATTCGAACCCGGGTCTGCTGCATGCAAGGCATGACCTGCCCACTATGCTATCGTTTAGTCTGTATATACATAAGATAGATTCGGGGCATTAAATTAGGTAGCTCTAAATTTAAATACTTTTAGCATTGATGATGCAAAAAGCATTGTGCAAAATGTGCAAGGGGCAAGAGGATATAGAATGGGTCTTCATCATCCAGGAGTTCATAATTTAAATAAGTTAGAGGAAAGCAGAGTGAAAAGTGAAATCTTTCTCAAGAACAGTCACATAATTCAACAAATTGAGATATGTGACTTAAATTAGAATTCTTAAATTTAAACTACCTTCTTTAACTTTTATAACTTGCAAAAAATTAGGAACTCACTAAAATGTGTAGGATCGGATAAACAAAAGAGGGAGGGAGCGAATGTCAACATTTCTGTAGAAAAATTTATGACAAAAACAAGTAATCTGTACTACTGCTGTCGTCACATAGTGATATAATACAGCAATTAAAACATACTGGGGGGCTGAAGAGATAGTTAAGGAATTTGCATTGCACATGGCAGGTCCAACTTTGATCCCTGGCACCACATGGGGTCCAGAACATTGCCAGGAGTGATCTCTGAGCAACAGAGCTAGGAGTAAGTCATATGTACTGTCAGGTGTAGCCCCAAAACCAATATATCGTGGGTAAAATTATTTTTCCAATAATTATATGCAATAAAATCTGATACAACTAATATCTAATTGTTTCACTAGGTTTCCAAGAAAACCTCAGATTTAAAAAACTGTGACATACTTTGTAAGTCTGTTTGGGGACCACACCCCACTGTGCTCTGGGGTTACTCCTAGTCTACACCGCCCTGTGGCTCAACTTTTATCCTTATATTAATTACCTTTAGAAAATAAAGTTAGGTATACCATCCATCCACCTTTTGCAAAAATCCCAAAGTATGATACAATTACCAGGCCCGCTGACAAATGATTCTTCTACCAGTGTCAAAACCAAAAGTATCTGTTCTACACATCTAAATCATATAAATATTACAGCTATTCAAAAACACAAAAGTATAATAATAATCCAATAGTCCGCAGTGCCTAATAAACTGAACCAATAATTTCTATTAAAAAATCTAAAACGTCTTTATTTTTAAATTGCAAATTACTCTTTAAGAATAAACTTGGGGGGAAATTAATAATTTTTTAAATAATAAAAATAAACCTGGGTAGGATGCTTGTTTTCCATTCAGCCAACAGAGATTAACCAGCATCCCATATAGTCCCTTTAGCAGAGTTCTAAGCACCCTTGGATGTGTCCCCCGAAAAAGACCTTGACTTTCGTGGTGAAAGAGAATCTCACCGGATGAAAAGGACAGCTCAATAAAATTGCATTCTCTCTAAGAAGGTGGGAGAAATACAATTCCAATGTCTTCCTATTATTGATTTTTGAGCCACACCCGGTGGTGTTGTAGGGGTTACCCTGCTAGGTGCCAGGGGAACACGATAGAGACAACAAGGACTGAACCTGGGCCTCCGAACTGCAAAGCACTACCCTATTCCTTGAGTATGGACCTGGTCCATCTTCCTATTGTTGACCCAAATTCAAACTGCACCTTCATTTCAAGTCTCTGCAAATGCAGCGCTCCAATTCACAGGGCAGATAACTAGATTCTACAACACAGTGCTGCAACTTTAAAAAATCAAAATCAATAATCTCCCTCTTTTGATTTTTCCTATCCACTTTTTGGTTTCCTGATTTCCTCATTAGCATCTCTAACTGGACCAAAACAACAGGGGAATGGGGAAAACAGAGGACACTTGAATTTTTTAATTTTTCCAGTATAAGGTTTATTGGGGGGAACCAAGCACCTAACCTATAGATTTTAAAAACGCGGGCTCCTCAAGATCAACTGCATTTTCGCAAATCCATACGATTCTTTTAGGAACTGCAGCAGGAAACCGGGTGTGTTCCTGAGGTTTGAAAGATTCCAACAGTGTCTCATTCTCAAGGGGCTTAACGTTCTAAATAGCGAAGCTGGCACGTTTCTCTGGGCCATACTGAGGGTAGAGCTAACTGGATTTATTCTCAGCCACGCAGGGAGTGAGAAGCCGCTTCCCAGACCGAGAGACCGAGACGGGGGTGGGGGGGGTGGGGGGGGTTGGAGGGCAAGGGGGAGGGCGTCTAAGAAACAAACGGATGGCACGCCAATCCGAACCCTGCATGAACTTGAACCCTCATTTTCCCAGGGGCTGCTTTTCTTCCTGCGACGACATCCCCCCACCCCCCGCCGCCCAAAGCCTTTCGCTCGAGTCGCGGCCGAGGCAACGACCTTCCCCGTGGTTTCGCGGGGCTCGGGGCTGCGTGGGGGAGCCGCGGCCGGGGGCCCGCTCGTCCCCACCCCGGCACCCGGCGAAGACGCGGCCCGCGCGGGCGGGCTCCGGTTTCGCATTTTGAATCCCGAGTAGGAAGTGAGCCGGCAGCCGCTTCAGTTCCGGGAGCCGCGGCGGCGCCGTCCGGAACCGGCCCCCCGAGCCGCCACCGCCCCGGCGCAACAAGTGACCCGCGCGCGCTCGCGCCCCGCGCCCCGCACGCACGACTTACGATCTCCGAGCGGCCGTCGCGACAGGCGTTCTGGAAGCGCGTCTGGCGCTCCTCGTGCGGCCGGTCCCTGAAGCCCGTGTACTTAATCTGCAAGGCAGAGAGGGCGGCCCGCAATCAGGAGCCCAAGCCGCGGCGCCGCCCGCGCGCCCGCCCCGCTCAGGGCCGGCGGAGTCCGCGGGCGAGATTGCCCCAGTCCGCGGGCAGTCCCGGCGGGGGTTCCCGGTTGGGGGGGGGCGCACCGCGCAAACTTTTCTCCCCCCCCCCACCCTCCCCGGGCCCACTCGGGCCCCCGCACCGCGGCCTCCACGCCGCCCGCCCGCCCGGCCTCACCTCGCACTCGCGGCTCAGCTTCCTGAAGAACTCCTCGTTCTCGAACTTGCTCCGCTGGTCGGGCACGACGCGCGGCATCTTCCCGCCCTCAGGCCGCGCCGGCCGGCCCGGGCTCGGGGCTAGCGCGAGCACCCGCTGGCCGAGGGCTCCCCCGCTGACCGACTGACCGCCCGCCCGCGGCGCCCGGACTCCCGCTTCCCTTTGTTTCCGGCGCCCGCCCGCCCGCGTGGGCTCCCGCGCCCGCGAGCCCCAGGTGCCGCCGCCCGCGCGAGCGCTGCAGCCCACGGCGCCGCCGCCGCTGCCGCCGCCGCCGCCTCAGCCGTTGCGTCCAGCCCGCGCGCGGACCCAGCAACTCGCCGCCCCCGGCCGCCGCCGCCGCTGCCGCCGCCGCCGCCGCCGCCACTTCCTCTCACCGCCCACCTCGCCCGCGCGCCCCGCCCCCGTCGGCCCCACCCCGCCTCCCCGCGCGCGCCGCCGCCCGCCCCAAACTCTGCAAACAAAACGCACCATTCACAACTCGGACGCCCGCGCCGCGCATGCGCCGCGCCTCCGCGCAGAGCTCCCGTCGCCGCCGCCGTCGCGCAGCGGTCCCCGCAGCCTGCTGCACGGCCCGTTTCCCGTCCGCGCCGGCGCCTCAGTGCCCAGCCCCGGCCGTCGAGGCAGGAAGCGGCTTGCGGGGGGTCATTTGTTTGCACCCTTGGAAATTTGGGGCTCCCCAGCCGCACGGAGTAACCTCACATCGCCACCTGAACTCGAGGAAATGAGTCATTGGGGGCTTTCCGGTCCCAAATCCAACAGGGTTGAAGGCTGTTCCCCACCGAAAGATTACTGAGGGGCGGGGAGGAGGGGAACGAAGAAGAATCTGACTGATTTGGGTTGTTGGTGCGAAGGTTGCAGTCGGAGGCCTTTAAACGGGATCCCGCTCCACTGCCTGCTGGCCAAGCCCGTAGACAGACCCTGACCGCTAAGCCACAGTTTGCTCGTTTCTAAAGTGCGGACGCTCACGAGCCTGTCCTTGTGGCTTGAGAGCCTTTTCTATAGATTTAGCACAAAATGAATCTCGGGCTGCCTCACACACTTTTCTTCCCGTGTCTTTCAATTGCTAGTAATAGAAACCCAGTTCAAACGTGAAGCAAAAACAGCTTCCCATCGAAGAGGGACACTATTCTGCGTCTCGTTTCTTCTGACTGAGCTTCGCTCAGACTCTCATCCATGCCATTCATTCATGCCCCAGCAGAAGACAGGCGCAACTGAGGCCTGGACTCAGCGGTAGGGCTGAGTCCTTTTCTTGCACGAAGCCCACCGGAGTTGGCTTATGGGAGCCACTTATGCGGGATCCCTGGAGCTGTGCCAGGAGTGATCCCTGAGCACAGAGCCAGGAGTAAGCCCTGAACACAAGACGGGTATGGCCCCTCAAAAAAACACAAACCCCAACACACACACACACACAAATCCAGAAGATAAACGCAACTATTCCTCCATCTCCAGACCCCCCCCCAAAAAAAATTCCTGAGTAGGACTTTGACCCATTTTGGAATCATATAACCTCTGCCAGATCACCATGTGCAGGCAGGTTTGAAGATATTAGCCAGCTGATGTCATGTGCTTTCTCTTGGGCAAGAGGGAGTTTGGGGCCTCTGGCATTAGTAGCCTCAGAACCTGAAGGGTGAATGGCAGGAAGAGAAATCTAGAAGGAGAGCAAGTGAGAGCATTGTGGGCCTATTGAACATTGCCTATTAGTGAGTCTGGCAAGGAATGTCACTTTTATTTTGCTGCTCAGGGTTCTGGTGAAACAGGAGGAGGAAACTCCACAGCAACTTGGAAAAAGTGAAACAAAATCAATCTTAAAGAACATCTGCAACCCATTTGGATAGGCGATGGAAGCAGCCTCTCCCCCAAGGCTGAGCTCAGTCACAGGAATGGAAGCTTTCATCCGTCTGCTCAAGTCTTTCCAGTTCCACCTTTAGGCGCAGGGACAGCACCGCCATTGTTTAAACGAGAAGAGGATGACTTTGCCCCCACTCAACAGGACTGCTTGAAGGCCAGTGGTCTGGAGAGCCCTGTCTGCAGTCGGCCACTGTGGTAGGAAAAAAGGGATGGCCCAGGGAGAAACACCATGTCCTGCTCACGTAGACATCTGTGTAAGCTGTTTCTGTTTCTGGAAAATGATTCTGATTCTGTCCCTGAGAAATGATCCACAAGGAAACATGTTTTCTCCACAATGTGTCCAGCTAAGGCACAAAGACCTGCAGCTGATCTCCGTCTTGGAATTCTAGGAAGAGTTGTTTCTGCCGCGGGAAATGTGGAATAAATAAAAGTTGAACTTACTCTGGGGTGGCCTACAGACCCAGACAGACATCATGAGCCCTAACAAGAGTTCTGGCAAGTGTCTTCCAAATTCAACGGAGCTGGATGAGGCAGCAGGTAGGGGTGGGTAGAACATTCTCGTGGTCAGCCTCCTGGACCTGGTGAGGAATGATGTCCTGAGGGAAAGGGATGGAAAGTGAGCCAGACTGCTCCAGAACAGCAGCACCACAGACAGCCAAAGGCAACTCCGGGCCTCAGGGTAACCCACACGGCATTGTCTGGCGGCCAACCAGCCTGGGAAACCAGCCGCAGCTGAAGGAGTCCATCTCCTCGGCTGACCTCTGCATGCCTTTTGTTGTGATTTTTTAAAACTTATTTTAAAAGCCTGGAGCGATAGCACAGGGGTAGTGTTTGCCTTGCGCGCAGCCAGCCCAGCCGGGTTTGATTCCTCTGCCCCTCTTGGAGAGCCCGGCAAGCTACCGAGAGTATGTCGGACCTCATGGCAAAGCCTGGCAAGCTACGTATTTGATATGCCAAACACAGTAACAACAAGTCTCAAAATGGAGATGTTACTAGGCCCGCTCGAGCAAATCAATGAACAACGGGAGGACATAGGGTCTCATTTTAAAAACCACTTTAAGAGAAAATTTCACCCATGGCAGGTATATATAACTCTGTGTTTCTGTCTAGCTCGGATTGGATTGGTCCAGGCATAACGCCATGGAGGGATTTGCCAAGAATCGGCTCTCCAAGGGCCCAAAGATGGAAGCCTGAGGGTTCCTGTCCACTGTTTAGAAACACCCCTCCTCACGCTCTGAGTCGGCCTGAATTCTCGGAAGCTTTGCTGCCTGGAGAGCTTTTGCAAGGATTCAGCTAGCTCAGAACCTCCTCTTCTCTCCTTGAGTGGGCAGAGAATGCACAATAACGCTGAATAGCGGGTGGGAACCCTCAATTATGGGGCCCTACCATGAAGCTGCATGCTTTTATGCCCCTTAACTAAGTTAATTCACGCAACCACCGGCTAAGACAGGTCTTGTTCCCATCAGACAGGCGAGGAAATAGAGATTCTGAAAACATAAATAAGTGAGGAGCAGAAAGACTATACAGCAGGTAAGGTGTTTGCCTTGCATGCAGTTGACCTGGGTTCAATCCTCAGCATCCTATATGGTTCCTCAAGCACTGCCAGGAGAAATTTCTGAATGCAGAGCCAGGAGTAACCCCTGAGCACCAGTGGGTGTGGCCCCAAGAGGAAAAAAAAATGAAAAGGTAAATAAGTAAGTGATGATAGAATAGTGGCAAGACCCTGACTCATCCTTCTCTTCCTCCTGCTCCTCCTTGGGCCTCAGCTGAAGTTTCCATGCTCTGCCCGCTAAACTCTGTAGCAGACTTGGCAGTTTATTTTATTTATTTATTTATTTATTTATTTATTTTTCTTTTTGGGTCACACCTGGTCATGCTCAGGGATTACTCCTGGCTTTGCACTCAGAAATCACTCCTGGCAGTGCTCAGGGGACCATATGGGATGCTGGGAATCGAACCTGGGTCAGCCATGTGCAAGACAAATACCCTACCCGCTGTGCTATCACTCCAACCCCAGACTTGGCAATTAAGATATTCTGCCCTGCTCTGCACTCCCACCCAGCCCCACCCCAACCACTCAGATTCTGAATCTCAGAGTAAAGCTGAGCTCCCAGATCAGGGCGATGCCGGGTCTAGATGAGACCATACACAATGTATTTCAGCCACACACATCACCTCCAAGCCCCATCCGATGGCAGCAATTTTACCAGTTAGATCCCAATTCTTCTTTTTTTTTTTAATGTATAGACCACATTTTATTTATTCATTTCTGTTAAACATTAGAGCTGTTTCTACACCAAAATGAAATTTCTAAAATGAAAGGAAGGAAAGAAGGAAGGAAGGAAGGAAGAGAAGAAGGGAGGCAGGGAGGGAGGGGTGTAAGAAAGAGATCCCAATTCTTGGGATCATTCACCTTGCAAGGGCCAACCCTGGTTGAGTCCCCAATACCTCATGGTCTCCTAAGCACCACCATGAGTGAACCCTGAGCACAGAGCCAGGAGTCGCCCCTGAACACCGCCAGGTATGGTCCCTAAACTTCCTCAGATAAAAAAATACCGAATCTTCTCTGCCTCTTGCCATCCAAAACCTTGCCCATAGCTGCCTCTGGAGGGAGAAGCCAGATCGCACTTGCCCCTAAAGTGTACTGCAAGCTCATGGAGAGTTGTCACTGGAGCATCCTGCTGGAGTCCCAAAGAAGCCCCCAAAGGTTGAGGAAAGGATCCCACTGTGGGCGAGTGGGTGTGGGCGGATGCAGCTCTTGTCCTCAACGGTTTAAGCCTTCCTTCCCCACCCCCACCCCAACTTTTGTCCCTCTTAGTTTTGCAAGGTTTAGGCCTGAGTCCGTGCTGACAGGCTGCCTTGCTGGGGCAGCCACCTACATGGGCCCCTCTGCAGTGAGGGAGGGGGAGGGGTTCTCCGGGTTCTTCAGCCTCCCGGCCTTTTTTTTTTTTTAATACCTCAGGAAATAGTTTCTCTTCAGTTACTGAGGCAATATTGTACCATCACGAAGTTGAAATAGGATCCTGAGTCACATAGGAGACTTGAGGGTGGTGGGAGAGGAGGGAAATGAGGGGCTGGCACGGTGCCTGGCGTGCTGGCTCCTGCGGCTCCTGGTTTGGGGCTAGAGATGGGCTGAAGTCCAGACGGAGGCTGTCATCTGCCTAAATGAGGCAGTTCATTTCCTGAGCCCTAAAGAATATTTCTAAGGTATCATATTCATAAAATTTACCCTTAAGCTCCTCAGAATTTCTCTTCCCCAAAGATTCTCCCCTTTCTGGGCTCCCCAGCCACCATCCTCTCCCCACCCCCACCATCCCAGAGGGGAGTGGAAAGCAGAGAGGAGCAAGTTATCCCCAGAATAGCAATTCTTCAGGGTTGGGATCAATAAACCCTTTTGCTTAAAAGGAACCAGATGATTTCATCCTTGTAATTACAAGTTTGA